GAATGCTTTGCATTTAGTTTCATACAGACCGACATAGCATGCCACCAAGAGTTGTCCATAAACATCTTGCGAAGTTAAATATTACGTACGTAATATTAAAATATCATGTTTTTCTTATTATTTAGTCTAAAAATGTCTTCCTACACGCAAGTACTTTTATCGCTAATTCAGAAAATAAACTGCTCATAACTCAGCCCTATAAATCTATCTTTGATCTCTCGGATCATTTGTACTTTCGGATATGCGATTGTGTATCTTGCGCTTTTCAGCGTACTGCTGACATATATGGGCAGCAGACAACCCTAAAAACGCATTAAAAAATAAAATGGTATGCACTAGAGTATAAACATTGAAATAATGTTATTAAGCCACGTTTTTCGATAAAAGAATGGACGCACAAGATGGTGATGCTAATCGTAATGCAGAATAAAACTTGAAAAATATTGGTATGTATTTGTAAATAGACAAACCAAGAAATGGAACTGAAGTTAAATGATTTCATGAGAAACAGGAACTTAATTGATGGCAAAGTTTCGACGCTGGCACACCAGGTCGTCGTTGAACTTAAGGGAAATGTGTAAGCAACGTTGCGCGCTTTTAAACATGCCGAACATTGAAAAGGATTCCTCTTCTATGGTCAATAGTAAACATGGCGAGAGCTTAAATAAAACGAACTAGATTGTTCCGATCAAGTCCCTAATCCAATAAGTTGACAAACACTTCCGTATATTAAAAACGTGTGTAAACTCGTTAAAAGACACCTGAAGAGGTACAGGATCCAAGTGGCGCATAAGGCCAGAAATTCCTTGCGGCAACTGCGGTGCAGTTTATTTTGGAAAAACAGGAAGGTCCAGCTCTACACGCACACATGAACATCAATTGGCTGTTAAGAGGTGCGATCGCATGTTCAAAGTCGCAATGCGTACTCTTGAAATTGATCACAGGTTGATATGGGACCAAACCCACATAGTATGTTCCTGCCCGTAATAAAAAGCCGCTAATTTTTAAATGACATTTGCATTCAATTCACGTGAATCTCAAAAATACTTTGAAAAACGGCCAACCACCAGAGCTTATAGTTGCCATAGATGAAGAATCATTATCGATGATTCGGCATGTTTAGAAAGGCTGGACGTCCTCTACACATTTCCCTCAAGTCCGACGAAGGCTTAATATGTCAGCGTAGAAAATTCCCAATATATTTCTTTCCTGTTTCCCAAAGAATATTCTCTCTTAAAGAATATCGGCATGCAATTATAAATAAGAAATATTTAAGGCAATTCTGAAACGTTTATTTCCTGAGATATAAATGTATGTTTACGGTTCTTATGCATCAAACGAATATTTGCGTGCACGCTTTCTTTAAAATATTTTTGATTTTATGAGGGCAATACAAATTAATGGATTAACTGCGTACAACTTAAGCAACCAATTATGACAGAACGAAGCTTGTTTTGCTTGCAGAAAGAACATCTTTCGGAATATGCTACAATAATACTTTTAATTAGCCTGTCAAATGGTTCAAATGTGTTAGCGAAATATCTGTCCTGTCAAAGCTGACAAATATTTCCTGCTTTGGATAAAGTAACCTGGAATTGCCGCTTCTGGCTTATTGAGCATTGTCCGGGGGCTACTTGAAACTGCAGTCAATGCTGACTAAATTCGACTTGAGATCGCTTTTTTGATGAGAAGTAATTAATCCAATTTTCTATCGGGATAGACAGACAACGGAACATACACCTGTGTATCTTCGTTCCATGCAATAATTACGAATCACTAGGTAGTTACCTTCTGTGAAGGATACCTTCTGGGTGTATGCTAATAGTACCATAATGTTATGTCATACCTTGCAACGCTACGTAACCTCCCTCCTTTTATTTTAACAAACCAACCCCATGTAAACGGTACTTCAAAGCATTATGCATT